TCGCGTCGTCGTCTTCTCCGATGACGTGCCGCCCGGCCTGGACGCGTGCGGCGGCGAGAAGCTGAGATGGAATCATGTATACAGAGGAAGCACGTACGCCCTATGTAGAAGAGAGGATTGCTGTCGAGCATGCGCGCCGGCAGCTCCATGTTGCCGTCGACTCAATGACCAGACGCAGCAGGACGGGAACCAATCAAGCAAGGTGTGTTTTGTCGTCTCATCTGCTGCAGAGCATGCCCGGCTCAGCGAGCTACACGGTGACGGCTGGTGGCACAAGGGCGCGTTTCGTTACTTGCATCGTTTTTTGTCACTTTACGTACTTGTCTCAGTTGGGTCTGATTGAACATATGCAGACAAAAAATCAACATATGCATGTTGATTGGTTGCCTGCATACCCTCTTCCTGCATCATAGCAACTCCTCTACGCGTTGTGTTTGGTTGCTCATATTGATTGTGCTCATACTAGTGCGCGTTGTTTGGTTACATACACTGGATATGATTAAAAGTTAACAACTACACATAACACACAGTGTTACACTAGAGGTGCCTCGGCGACAGAGGTGGGCGGCGGTCGCGGCGCCACCCGACACGATGAGCACGGAGTCGCGGGCGAGCAATCCCATCGGAGGTGCAATGAACTAGTTGCTAGCACCGCCGCCGCCGAGAAAGTCAGTGTGGAGTAAAGAATAGGAGGACATTGATGCAGAGGATGATGGAGAAAAAATGCAGTGTGCGTGCCATGGTGGCCTCTGTGTAGTAGGACGCGAAAGAGGAGGCCGAAAAGAACGACAATGACGACGGCGCCAGTGTAGTAGGATGTGAGCGAGGAGGCCGAGAGGAACGACGTCGGTGATAGCTTCAGTGTACCAGGACATCGGAATGGAGACCGAGAGGAACGACGACCGCACGAGTGTAGTAGGACATGGGAGAGGTGGTTGAGAGAAACGCCGCCGATGGCACTAGTGCAACAACACGCAAGAGAGAGCGGCGATGGCGGCGACGCCAGTGTAGTAAGACACGAGCGAGGAGGCCAAGAGGAATGATGCCGACGATGGCTTCAGTGTAGCAGGACATGGGAGAGAATGTAGAGAGAAACGATGTCGGCGGTGCCGCTAGTGCAACAGCACGCGAGAGAGGTGGTCGAGAGGAGCGACACGGTGGTAACACGTGTGTAGCAAGACAGTAGAGAGGAGACTGAGATTAAGGAGTGTCATTAACACTATACATATGTGTATATACTTTTCACGAGGAAGAAGTTGGGTCTAATTGTCTATGGTCATTGAAATAGAAAACGTGAAACACGTAAGTCGTGTGAAACTATAAGATAAACTACTTGTCAAAGGAAATTTCAAACGGTCGACCGTGCGCGATAAATTTAAAAAAATTCATCCAAAATAGCTCCAGACAAGAACAAGAAATTGAATATTAACGGTTGACGAAACTTTGAACTGATCGCAAAAATGAAACCATAGCATTGATATGCATTTTATTCAAGTAGAGCTTATCTCGATTTGATGCATCATTGTGTAGACTAGAAAGGACTAATAAGTGAACAAGGTTGGGAGTTAAACCAACAAACCACCTGCAAACTCACCTGTGCATGAGAACGAACGAGGCTGCATCCATAGAGCCACCCACGTGCGCTAGCCTGCATCGCTCGAAAAACGGCCAAATCTAGCGTTATGAGGGATGTATGTTCAGAGATGCTTTAAAGTCCGTGCTATACAGGCCCAAAGCAATCAAATGGGCCAAATACTTCCCGCGCAGGCTTGATTGAACTTAATACAGGTAACCAAACGCATTCTAAATAATCAGCTCTGGCGTGGCCGTGCGTGGAGTGGAGGGGTGAGCACGTAAGATAAGATTCCTTGCAGTATCAATATCATCGGGTAACCAAAAAATTGCATCATCAACATAACATCAAAAACACCATCCAAAAACCCCTTTAACTATTCCATGGTATTTAGTGTTGTCCATAATCAAGGTCAGAGCATCAACAATCAAGTAAAAAAGCAGAGCTGACAGAGAATCCCCCTATCTTAAAACCTTATGGGTTAGAAAATATGGACCAACAAAGTCATTTACTTTGATCCCAACATAAACCCTTCTCATAGTGCTCATGACCCAGTCACACCATAAATCGGGGAATCATTTTAGAGAAAGCATTTTATAAATGAAAGGCCATTTTATTTTATCATATGTTTTTATCAAAGTCAACTTTGAAAAGCAATGCACTCATTTTCTCCTTATGTATAGAGTTAAGGACTTCATGAAAGATAATCACCCCCTCCATTATGTATATGTCTTTGATAAAGGCAGTTTGAACATAAATTTGCAGGGGCACACATCTGCCCAGCCATGCTGGCCGCTCGATTGCCTCGCAATTCACAAAGTCGTTGGATCCCGCACGAGAGCATGGTAAGTTCTAAGTTTTTTTTTCTTTTTGCCGGTCGCAGGTTATGCAATTACGATTTTATCGCTCGCTCATACCAAGTTCTAGAAGATGAAACATTTTTGTCGGCCAGAGGTTTTAAAACTTTTGATTTCGTCGGTCGCTTGTACCAAGTTTCAGAAGTTGAAATTTGACAAAATTTAAAAATTCATCAAAAGCTATTCAAAATGGCTCTTGTTTGAAAGCCCCCGTCATCAGAAACACAAATACGTAAACGAAATTTACTTTAGATTTTTGGTTCAAAAGATATGAAGATTGAAAGTCAAAAACCAAAGAAAAAGGAGGCTACAAATCCAGTTGAACAGGGAAAATAACAGGATTGACTACAGTTTTCAGTCCATGCATCAGAATCTTAGGCTGTGTTCGGGAATACTCCGCTCCTTCCCCAGGGAGCGGAGCAGGCGGAGCACCCATTTGGCAGCTCGCCAAAATTCCACAGGATGCTGCTTCGCTCCGCAGCAGAGTTACGGAGCGGAGAGATTCCAAACGGTCTCTTAGTGGAAGTTTTAAAGCTAACATTCAAAAAACAAATAGCCCTGAACTTCTAACTCCATTCAGCATCCATGGTTTTATGGATCAAGATTAAATATCTGGGAATACCGATTCATTATCGGTGTCTCACCATTGCGGAGTGGAAGCATGTAGAGGAACGGCTAGAGAAACGTTTGAGCAATTGGAAAGGCAAATTGCTCTCAGTTGGAGGACGGCTGATTTTGATTAACTCTGTCCTCATAAATATGGCTCTTTATATCCTCTCTTTCTTCCAACTCCCAAAAGGGGTCCTGCAAAGACTGGACTATTTTAGATCCAGATTCTTGTGACAAGGAAATGGTGAAAAGAAAAAATACAGGTTGGCCAAATGGAGTGTGGTTTGTATGCCAAAAGACCAAGGTGGCCTTGGAATTCATGACCTGGAAGTCAAGAATGAGTCCCTACTTAATAAGTGGTTGTTTAAACTTCTTACTGAGGATGGTGTTTGGCAAACCATGTTGCGCAACAAGTATCTAGGCCAAAAGGTGGTGTCTCAGGCATATTAGAAACCTGGTGACTCGCACTTTTGGGCTGGTCTAATGACAGCAAAGAAACATCTCTTTCGCTTTGGGTCTTTCGCGATAAAAGACCGGTCGGAGATTCGTTTCTGGGAAGACATCTGGCTAGGCAATGCCAGTCTCCGAGAACAATATCCAGCCTTGTACAACATCGCTCGCAATAAGAATAAAACTATTGCGCAGGTGCTCAGTTCATTCCCGCCCAATATTTCGTTTAGGCGGGATTTGATTAGCCCCCGTCTTACGTCAGGGCATAATCTTTTATCCCGTTTGGATTTGATCAATTTGACACAAGGTCGGAATGTGTTTTGCTGGAACCTTACTACATCGGTGTCACAGTAGACTCTATGTACCGTGTGCTCACGCATTCTGAGGTACCAGTGAGTAATAACAAGAAAATCTAAAAGTCAAAGATTCCACTAAAAGTTAAAATCTTCATGTGGTATCTTCGTAGGGGAGTTGTTCTAACAAAGACAACCTCGCACGGCGTAACTGGCCAGGGAGTAAGAAGTGTTGTTTTTGCATTCATGAAGAGACAATCAAATACCACTTTTTCCAATGCAAGTTTGCACGTTCTACGTGGTCAGTCATCCAAATAGCGTTAAATTTGTATCCGCCCACAAGTGTCGCCAATATTTTTGGTCATTGATTGGATGGTATTCCAAATAGGTTGAAAATGCTAATAAGGGTGGGAGCGTATGCCTTGCTATGGTCGCTTTGGCTCTGTAGAAATGATTTAGTTTTCAATAACAAAAATGCTTCTCCTTTGCAAGTTATTTTCCGTTGTACGCACTCGCTTCATACGTGGTCTACGCTACAACGAGTGGAGTACCAACCGATGTTCAAGGCGGTGTGTACACGGTTGGAGCAGGTGGCTACGGAGGTTTTTACCCAACATGGGTGGCAGCATAATCTCCGGATCGGTCCACCACCCTTTTCGACATAAGCGTAGTGTCAGTCTATATGACTCTATTGTCGCCCATTTGTCGTTTTCTTTTTTTCTTTTTATCAGACTTTAGGTGATTGGTTGTGTGCATCTTAGTTATACAGAGGCCGGGTGTTACTCATAATGCTTTGTATCTTTCTGATGCTATTTTTTGAGATAATAAAAGCGCCCTTTATTGAAAAAAACTCAGTCTAGAAATATCTAGCCGACCTTCATGGAAATCATCTACTCCTAGTGAGTTCTCTAGATCCCACCTAATAAGCTCCCGATTTTAAAAAAAATTAATGGGCTTTGTTCCTTCAACGGCACACCCGTCACCCGTGCCTATACAGTAGCGATCGACGGCAGCTGATTTGTTTGCCCTCTCCACACCTGCGCCGACGACGCACTGCCGTGACACCCAGTGCACCTGCGCAGAAGCGCCACCAAAGCTCGCCGCCTATAAAAAGCAGCGTCGCACCATGCTAATCCCAACTAAGCTCACGCAAACACAACTACACAACAACATCTCCCCAGTGGTCAGCAGCTCAGAACACCCCAGACCAAGTTAGCAATGGCGAAGCGCCTCGCCGTCGCCCTCCTGCTGCTGGTCCTGCTCGCGTCCAGCGACGCCGGTGCTGCTGCCCGTGCTGCTATTGGCGTCGGCGAGAAGAAGGCTCTGGTGCCCGGGCTGCCGGTGGACCTCCCTCTCCCTGGCCTCCCCGGGCTGCCTGGGCTCCCTGGGCTCCCTGGGCTGCCGGGGCTCCCTGGGCTCCCTCCCGTTCCCAAATTGACGGCCACCAACAAGTCTCCATGATCGTCTGTGGTGTACGTGCTGGCTAACATGCAAGCTGAAGCTGAACTACTTGTGGGTTTAGACTTGCAGCTGTAGCACGTACCGGCCGGAAGAAAATCACCGGCGCTTCGCTCAAGCGTCTGTACCAACTACTATCTTTGTCGTGTGTATTTCCGTTCAGTTAAACCATCGTGTGTATTTCCTTTCAGTTAAACTATCGTATGTATTTCCTTTCAGTCCACGTAAGTATGGTTGGTACATGGGTCTACTTGTATGAGGCTGAAGTCTTCAGCCTATATGCATTATTGCGATACACAGAGCCATACGAACAACTCAAATGGAAGCATGGGTCTTTGACGGCACACATGTGCCTGGCTATACCGTGGTGATCGACGGCAGCTGCCGTCTCCTAACACGTACCCGCGCCGACGACGCGCTGCCGTGCCGCCCTGTGCACCTTCGTGCAAGTGACATCAACCAAAACTCGCCTATAAAAGGCAGCGTACACACGATGCTAAGCCTAAGCTGACTCAAACGCAGCCACACAACACCATCTCCTCAGTACATCAGAGCCTCCCAGTTAGCAATATGGCAAAGTATCTCGCCGTCGCGCTCCTGCTACTGGTGGTGCTCGCGTACTGCGACGGGAGGGAGCTGAACCAGAAGGACCAGGCACTCGCAACGGCACGCGGTGCTGGTGCGGGTGCTGGTGGTGGCGTCGGCGAGGAGAAGATTTTGGGGTTGGCAGAGTTGCCGCTTGTGGGAACTGTTACCGGTACCAGCACAGTTACCGGTCCGGTGGTGGTGGTTCCTGCCCTTCCCGGGATCCCTGCTCACCCATGATCATCACCAGTTCATATGCTGTCTTACAAGATGAAGCTGAACTAGTGGGTTTATGACTTCTAGCTAGCACCGTCCGGAAGATAAACACCGGTGTTTCGCTCATTTTCACGTTCCTTCATGAGCGTCTGTATCAACTATCCTATCGTCTGTATTTTCTTTCAGTTCATGTTCTAGTATTTTCCGTTCCTCTGTATTTTCTTTCAGTTCATGTTCTAGTATGATGTATCGTCAACCTAATAAATACTACTTTGTCATCATGAGTACCTTCTTGGATACATATAGCAGCTTGCATCATCGATTTACTACTTCATCACTTGATCACAACGTCCAAACTCCTGAGTTTTTTTTTTGTTTTTTGTATAAAGAGAGAGAGCTTCCTCTCTGATTTTCATTAATAGAAACCACAGTATCTTGTTATACAAACTACTAAGGGCAAGCAGAAATACTAGGAAACGACGACACATGATCTGAAGGAGCAAAATGAGATATACCCATCAGCCCCCAAAGACCACAAAGGCTATATCCGAAAGAACACCGATATCCTACAGCCCACCATACTCTGGAGTTGTTCTGGTAAAAGAAAATGACTAAAGTTTTGGAATTCGTTTTTACTGGCATGTATATTTATATTTAATTTGAGGCAAGCTGGTATGTCTACATATAGGATATATCAAAGCGTTGTCAAGGTGATCAAACAAATGATAATGGAAAAAGTCTAAAACAAACCCTGAACTCGTGGAGAAAAGCTAAATGGAACCCTGAACTCCTAATCCCTGAAATCAGCACACTCAACTCACTAATCCCGGTCTAAATTAAACCCTGAGACCGTTTTAGAGCTAATTTGCTGACGTGGCAGCGATTTCACCAGGATTCTGACTTGTGGGCCACGGAGAGGGTGTGTTGACCACGCATTTGGATAGAGAGAGGGGAATCTGAGCTCATTGTTAGGTTTACGGCGACGGCAGAGGCGAGGGGGCGGCGATCTGAGCGTGGCG